CAAGTTTGGAATGCCTGAGTGACTCAAATTGTGTTTCTTTTCAATGTTCTTTAAGTGTTAAGAACAAACTTATTGAAAGGGCAATAGCAAGGAGGGGTAAAGTTTCCTAATGAAATTCCTGTAAGCCAGCCCTGGCCACCCTTGAAGAATAAGCAAGTGCACTGTCATGATGGAGGGAAAAAACTCCTCGGCACAACTTTCTTTTCTCACCAATGCCGTTTTCAATTTTCTTAAAATGTTTCCATAATAACTCCTATGATCATGCTGTGTCTTTAAGAAACTCTGTCAAAATTTCGTCTTCGGAATCCCTGATCTCTCTATCTTGAATTTAACTGGCCCAGCAGATCCCCTCAGAAGTCACTGTCTTGATTGCCTTTTTTTGTGTGAAGGCTCCCTAATGGGACTAAGACAAATTGTCTTACTGAGAGAACTTGTCTGCTGCCACCCACAGATTGCAGAGACATGTTTAAACATGTTTTGTTTGGAATAAACCCATGTATGTCTGAAGTAGAACCCTACTAGCAATACTTTCAGACTTACCTTCACATGACAGGATCCAAAGTGTACACAATATACATTCACAATGTCCAGAATACAATAATTACTTGACATACAAGAACAAACGAAACAAAAAACACCTGAAAAACGTGACTCATCGTCAAGGGAAGACAATGAACAGATGTCAACCCTGAGAAGACTCACATTTGAGGGCTTATGGATGACTATAAGGCAGCTACTGTAGCCTTATTCTAGGACAGACGCAAAAGGGAGTGTGAAGAGTGATGTTTCCAGTAGACAAGCAGGAACTATATAAAAGAACTGATTGGTAAATTTTAGAGCCAAACAATACAGTCTCTAAAATAAAAAAATCCACTGGATGGGCTCAATAGTAGAATGGAGAGGAAAGCCCGTGAGTCTAAAATTAGAATTTTATCTAATCTTAAGACAGAAAGAAAACAAACGTTTGTGCACAAGAAAACAGATGGTCTACATGACAATGTGACAATTTCAAAAGTCAAACACTCATGTCATTGTTTGCCCAGAGGAGAAAGGTATTAGTACAGAAAAATATCTGAAGACATAATGGCTGAGAACATCCCGAAGTTGGTGGAAGACATAAATGTATAGACTCCAGAAACTCCCTAACGTCCCCCCAAACAAAGTGTTCCATTTCCTGAAAGATTTATTTTAATCTAGTCATCCTTCTCAAGAATATTCTAAGTTATTATTTGTCTTACAGTGAACAAATACAAGAGAGCTTCAAAAAGCTCACAGAAAAATGAAAAGATAATGGACTATTCTGATGAACTTTTTGAAGCCCCCCTACATTTAATTAAAGGCACCACTGACTAAGGTGGTGGTGGTGTGTCATGGAGTCGGTTCCCACTCAGAGCATACAGTTTCTGAGGCTGTCAATCTTTATGGGAAGAGAAAGCCTCATCGTTCTCCCATGGAACAGCTGGTAATTTCGAACTGCTGACCTTGGGGTTAGTGGCCCGACTTGTAACCACTATGCTAGCAAAGGCTTCTTCCACTGACTATGAGAAGCATCATTATTTAGTAGAACACATTATTTAGTAGAAGCACATGCTAACTGTAAGTACCAGGCACTGTGCTAAGACACTGGATGGCAAACTGCAAGGTTGGCAGTTCAAACCCACTAACTGTTCCTCAGAAACTGTTATCTGTACAGGGTCACAAATGACTTGAGGGCACTTCCCAACAACTTAACAACTACCAGAGATGTGCTAAGACACTGTGGTAGGTACAACAGACTCAAGCACCCCATACTAATACGGCAGGTTCATCAATCACTCCACCTGCATCATTACTCATTTCTCTTCTCTGTCTCAGAAGACAAAATAAATGTGTTTAGAAATAACTCATGGGTCCCTTATCGATAAAGCTGCTGTGCCAAAACCCCACCCACAACCCCACTGTACAACCTTCCTCCTAGCAAGGGAAAAGCACTGTCAATAACCCTGTTTCCATCTCGCTCACTCTCTTATTCTTCATCAGACTCTCATTATCCTGTTTTGTTTGGGAAAAGGTGACAGGTTAGGTTAACTGTCTTTATTTTTTTTCCTCCAAAAAATAAAACTCCTTGCAAAATTCTACCCGTGTTTGCAAACTACTCAAGCTGATTTCCTTACTTAATGGAAAATTACTTTATTGTTGTCCTAACCTAGGACAGTTTTATGTATCTCTAGAGTCCATTTCATTCTCAAGTTATTTATAAAGTACTAAGAGAATGCAGTGGGAATTCGTTTTTTTTAAATAAAAAGAAGGAGGTTATAGCATTTTCTATTAAAATGCATCAGCCAAGCACGTAGTTCTTTCAGAGTAATATCTGACCCCTTCTTCCCTCTTTTGAAATGAACCCTAAGCCGTACTAACCCAGGCAGGCATCAGTCCTTGAGCCTGTGGGGAAGAAGACTTACTGCCTCCACACTTACATGGCTCCATTCTTCATCCCTTCCTTTTTCCAAATGTAAATTTTTATTTTAAAAACTAGATTAACCATTGCAATCAAATGATGAGTGTAAAACCGATGTTCTCCCATGTAAACTATCACTCAATTCACAATAAAACCTTTAAAAAAACCAACAGAACAAAACTAGATTAACATCTGTGTTTTCAATGCACACAGCTAACACTGTTATTGTGATTCCTCAAGAGCGACCTCATATATGAGGCTGGCCCCTGAGGTACCAGCAGTGGTCACAGCCCAGGACAGGCCCTGCTTAATACTCCAGCCTAAGACTTTCCAACTCCGTATCACTAGTCTGTTCTTACCCATAAAGTCACAGAGTTTTAAAAAAAACACACACACAGCATTGGTTTACTAATAGAATGGACTTAACATGGTTATATTTGGACTTCAAAATGACCAGAGAAGGAAAGCAAAGTCTTAGAGAAGACCTCTTCTATAGGGCTAAAAGTCTGCATAAGACACAGCCTCAACAACCCAAAGACCAACTGTAAGATCTAGATGGTACCGAGCTACCACGACCAACCACAATAGGTGGATCCTGATCAATGAGGGGAAAAACATGAAACCACTCAAGTCATTAAAAAGTCTACACTTACTTGACCAGTTGAGACCAGAAGACTCCCTGAGACTCCTGCCCTGAGATACTCTTTAGGCCTTGAACCGAAACAATCCCGAGATCAGGTTTTAGGGAAATAACAGAGTGGCACACAAAGGACATAGTACACATTGGCTCTACTGAAAAAACCATCTAAATGAGACCAAAAGGTCAACAATGACTCTGAAGCCAAGATGTGAAAACTGCCAATGAAAAGTTTGTCTAGAAATTAACAAATGGGAACAAAATTGACTATGTAGACGTCTCTCCAGAACACCATAAACTACTACTGTAAACAAAGATCAGAGAGCCCTTTTACACTCATCGTCTGGCTCCACTTCCAGCAATAGCTACATAACAAGGCATCCCTGCTCGAAGTTAGACATCTGCTTTACCAAGTCTCCCTTGTTCTCTCAAGTGGTGGTGCAATGGACAGGTGATAATGGTCATTATGTTCCCTCTGGAAATTTCTAGAGCTAATAGAGCTAAGTGATATATATAGAAGGCAGAGAGGCCTTTTCTCTGGAACATACCTCAGATGTCCTGTGAGCCTCACTGACCTTGAAATTCTAAATGCTCAGGCGTGTAAGCTGTGGATTAATCCCCAACCTTCCCAAGTGGATGCCCCAAAGAGCCCTCTGCATTTGCCCTCTGGGGAAAATGAGTAGCTGCTAGGAGCTAAGGGGAGAAGCTTGGGCCCTTTGTATACAGCTCAGTGTTGGTAAGGAAAACAGCATCCAGCTGGAAACTGGTTTCTTTCCCATGTTGTGTTATACAAGGAGGCTACTTAGTAAGCCTGGTGGTAGTGGGTTTTTTCAAGAGAAAAACTGCCTGGACATACAGCACTGAAGAGTTCCGTTCCCAAGCGTCAAAGTAGGTGCCACTTTAGGAGGCCTTGAGAAAAGGGACAGAAATAAATAATGTGTACTTTCTAACAAGTACACTCAGGTTATCTTTTTGTTCTAAGAGGAGAGAGTAGTTAGAGAGGTGGAGGTCGGGAATTGAAAATATTATTTGACAAAATAATTATTTTTGCAAGCTGCTACACTGGCAGGACAGAGGTCCGGGATTTGGCATGGAGGAGTTCCCGCCTCCCAATCTGATACCCACCACCAAGCAGACCACCACCTGCAGCCCGGGGCCGGGCACAGGGGAGGGGCACCGGCAGAGCCTGGCCTCCCGCCATGCTACCTCTCTTCAGGGCACTGGATCAGACATGGCAGATAACCAGCCAAAAAAAGAAAAAGGAAAGACAAGGGAGAGAGAAGGCAGGGAGGGAGAGAAACCTAAAATTTGGATTCAGGGTCTTTTTCAAGCACTTTAATCCTCTCGTGCTGATGGTTCCTGGAGCGTCCGTGGCTGGCACCGGAGCCTGTACCGGGAAAATCCGACTCCCTAAGCCAATGCGTTAAAGAGAAGACTGCTAATCAGCTAAATAGAAACTGGAATCTGTTCACATGAAGTCTCTTTTGTTCCCCATCACCAGAGGGACACCACAGTGTGCTGAAATACACTCTTGACATCATTTGGCAGGCAACCCTATTTTGTTGAACATGATTCATCCCTTAGGTTATTGTTTTTAATATTAGAAAGTGAGCTTTTAAATGCCAAACAAATTTTGCAGCAGGGGACAAAAAATATTCCAAGTGGTCTCACAGGACCTTCCACCAACTGCGTCCACCAAATGGCTTAAAAGGAAACCTTCCCCTGGTGCTTCAGAAATGAAGCAGGAACCCAGCTATTTCCAACTATTACCTAATAGTGCACTTTGTTCTCCAAGTTCACAGAGACAGCATTTAGGGGCTCCAGGCTGAGCTCAAGGTGGGCAGAGCCATGGTGGGAGAACTAAGGGCTGTGAAGCTGAGCACCGAGGCCACCCCCAAACTGAAGCTGCTCCTTATTCACACCTACCTCCTGTCCATGTTTCCACTGACCAAGAGGCTGGGAGGACTGTCTCGAAGGTTGACACAAGTAAAGTCACCAAGCGCATTACCCAGCTTCGAGATGCAGCGTTCTGCTTCCAGGTTGCACACCAGGATCTGGTGGAGGAAAGAAAACACAGGAGTCGACAATTACACCCAGCAGAACTACATCCACGCTTTCATTTCAGCAATGTCACATAGCCTGGTCACTACCACTCACTCTTAGCAAAGATGTTCTGTTGCTCAGTTGGCTCCAGGTTAAGAGCAGTACAGGGATGCAGTTATTATCATATGACAAAAGGAACATGTACTCAAGAGTTCTTCAGCCAAGGTGTAAACAAACTCATAGGAGACAAGAAAGAACTATATATACAATGGATGACATTTTGACTGTTCACATAGTAAAAGTAATCTAGAAACTTAAGGGCCTCCGCAGCTTCTGATTTGGAATCAATGGGAAGACTGTGCAAGGACGGTGCAGAAGAGCCACCTTAGGTCCTCCCTCTGTTGACAGAAAAATACACATACATGTTGACAGCACCAGTATCCAGGGAGAGACGCTTGTAGAGCTAACCACTGGATGGTTCCTCTGACTAAACTACAAACCAAACACAGTCTTTTCCTTTCAAATACCCAATGTCTGCTTGTGGATCTTAAAAAGTTCTGTTCCACAGGTATGAAGGCAAATAAGAAAGGGACCTTTTATCTCTATGTTGTTGTTGTTGTTGTTGTTATGTGCCGTGGAGTCGGTTCCGACTCATAGCGACCCTGCACAGGGTTTCCGAGGCTGTTAATCTTTACGGGAGCAGAACGCCTCATCTTTCTCCCGCGGAACCGCTGGTAGTTTCGAACTGCTGACCTTATGGTTCGCAGCCCGATTCGTAACCACTACGCTACCAGAGCTCCTTACTTTATCTCTATAGTATATTATAATATCAGAACACTGTTAAAGAGTACTAGCTCTCCAGGAAAAGTTTAAAGCAACAAAAACAAAGGCCTGATCCATTAAGTTTTTAACTAGAAATCTTGGTCATTCGATTAACATTAAATACTTGCTATGGTCAGTGTCTCCTGGTGTGGCTCTGTAGGATCAGAACTGGGCCGCAAACCACAAGGTCGGCAGTTCAAACCCACCAACCACTCCTTGGAAAGCCGATACAGGGTGGTTTTAAGTTAGAGCCGACTTACAGCACTTAATAACCACCACCACATGGTCAGTGTTATAGGTGCTAAGTTCCCAGTCTTTGTCCCAAAATTCACAATTCAAGGCACGCACAGGCACACACACATACTCTCGGCATACACTGTATTCTACTGATCACATGATTAATATTTTTAAATTAGTCACTGAACCCAAAAGTTTCAGTATTGATGTGTTATCAAGACACTGCCTCCTTGAAGCATACACAAATACAGTGGTGTGCTTTCTCCCTCCATCTCCCCCACCCCCAATTGTAGATTTATCGGTTATAGATTTGCATATGTTTATTCTGGTGTTGAGAAGTTCTGAATCATCTCCACCTTGCAGACCATCTCTTTGTCAATACATACTTCCAACAAGTGACTCTCTGGTACTTGCTTACAGCGAAAACAGCATAACAGGACTCGTTCTTCTGAAAGTAGCAGCTATATAAAGACTACAGAGGACAAGCTAAGCTAAGATACTGCTGAAAAGAAAAGTTTCTGACTCCGAAAGTTTCAACAACTCTAAACATCCAAAATAACATTATTATTCTAAATGAGAACACAGAAATAATCAAACCTTCTGTCTACAGTTAATAACCTAATTGCATAAACCAGCACTGGGGGAAGAACAAGCTACTCAGAGTGTTAAAAGCATAATATTCTATACCTCTGTATCAATGCATAGATTTTAATAGGGTTCTTGGGCTCCATATTTTCTTGTTTGTAAATACTCCAAGTAGACCTATGTAATCAGCAAAATGCCCACATATATAAAAGAATTAAAATCTGATTTTCTAAGATGTTCTTTTTTGACAAGTAAGTTGCTCATTTCTAAGTGACACAGTGAGACCCAAACAAAGACTTGCCAAAAAAAAGGACTACAAATTCATCATAAAGACATCTGAGTTACTAATCACAAATCAAGTATTTTCTAGAATGTTTAATAATTCAATGAATCAGAACTATGCAAAGAGCACCTTTACCATGACGTTTAGTTAAAGACCACAGAGAGTAGAAAATACATTACCCATCTCCAAGGCGGTTCTTTCCACGTTACGGGTCCCTTAACGACCTTTACCATCTCTCCCTCCCGCCCGCACTCTCTCTCTTTTAATAAGGTTGAGCAAATGGGAGTTCATTTGATCTGATTGCCACAGACTAGTGAGATTAATTATTCATGCTCACACTCTCCCTCTTGTTAAGACCATGCATTAGACTAATTTTTCTCTTTATTGCTCTAGTTGGGTGAGTCTCAATCCATGGCCACTTGACTCATTCTCAGAGGTGTATGGCTAGCTGGAAAGAAGGAAAAAAACTACCCAGAGCTAAAATCTTGGGGAAAATGTTCTGCACTAATGTGACCGCCAAATCAATAGATGTTGGGATTTTTTTTCTTTAAGTACTAAGTGTATGTTACAAAGGAGGTTATATAGTGATTACAGGGCAAATTTTTACAGGAGCTAGATGTTTCTTGAAGAATGATTTAAAACACCTACACCACATTAAGACTGGTACACATTTTGCAAAGATAACTATAAGAAGTGCTGTGTGTATAGTCAAAATACACTGGGCTGGCTGCTCTTTCTTTCTGCTTTCTAGGTTGATAGAGAGGACAGTACAGAGAAGAAAGTAATAGTTTTAAAAATAACTTCAGCAGGAAATTTTTATATCCTTGTGTTTCCGAAGCTATCTTAGAGTATTTTTAAAAATCCTCATCTTAGAATCTTAACTTTCAGTCTTGTAATTATGCAGACTTCTCTGAAATCTTTAATTTCTAAAAAAAATCCCTTTTTTCTGATTTCAAACAGAATACATTCTTGTACCACATCCGACATGAATAACAGTTTGGTGTATATACTTATAGAACTCTCCTATACACACATCCGTGTGTGTGTGATATATTTTTCTGTTCACTGAATAGGATTAATGTTTGGAAACTTGATTTTCCCCAAAAGTCTGGAGAACAGTTCTTCTGTCAGTGTACTTAAAAGACCTATCTTGGGTTTTTTTGTTTGTTTCTTTTCTAAAATCTTCTTCTTTTGAATGGCTATATATAATTTCTCTATGGATAGAGAATTCCATATGGATGCATATTTGGTTGTTCCTAATTTTTTTCCCAACTTTTTATTGCAAATTGAGTGAAGGTTTTCAGAACAGATCAGTCCACATTCAAGAAATCATGGACTTCGTGTCATTACAATGACTGCAATCCCTTCCATACACCATCAGTGAGCAGTAATTATCTCTATTCACTTGAACTCTTGCACTCCTCCCTGTGTGTTCCACAACCTTCATTGTTCCTGTGCCAATCTCCGTCTTGTTGTATACTGCCTCCCCCATCACCCAAGTTTACATGTGTCTACCTCTAGCCAGTGAATACAATACTTTTCCCTTCCCTCCCATCCCTGGTGAGCATAATAGAAAGTTTCTTTTAGCAAGAAAACCTTTCTTAACTTTTTACAATAGTGGTCTCATCATTTTCTTCATTACTGTTGTTTTAATGTTTACACAATCTTTCTGATATCCCTTTTATGAATTTTGATGTTAGTATGTATGTTCATCTCGGGTTGTTGTCTACTGTTGTTGGTTCTCAATCCGAAGAACACCCTTTACTGATTTTTGTAAAGGTAGCTGGGTTATTAATTACTGGTTCTCCTTTATAGGTAACTTTTCATTTTTTTCCCAAGCTACACACGCAATTCTTTCCATGGCTTTGGACCATTTCGTTTTGGTATGTCTTGGTGATTTTCTTTTGGGGTGTATCCTGCTTGGGGTTCATTCAATTTCTTAAATGGTTACTTTCTCATCTTTCAAGATATTAGGGAAGTTTCATTTCAGCAACTATTTGACACTTTTCTCCGAGATTTTTACTGTCTCTTCCTATTCTGGAATTCCTGTCGCCCATAAATTATGCCACCTCTTCATGGTGTTCCACGTAAATCTCAGGCTTTCTTCTGATTTTTTTCATTCTTTATCCAGATCATTCATCTAGCCTATTATAATTGGATGGTTTATCTTTAATTTGGATTTCTGTTGTTTTAAGTCTATACCTTTTCCCTCTCAGTGTATTGTCCACTTCTGAGATCTTAGTATTAATCTTCTATATTTCTATTTGCAGGTTTTGAATTATTTCAAAATTTGCATTTATACTATTTGTTCTTGCAGTGTTTCCTAAATTCTTCTCTTCTTTTTTTTTTTTTTAAATGTGTTCTCCTTGCTTTCCTTGATCTTTCTGTCAGTCTGTTGAAGATATCTAAAACACAATTTTTTTAAATTGTTTCTCAGATAGGTCCATTACCTTTTCTTTCTTAGAAATGTTTTCTGTCTCTGTATCATGGTCATTTGTTTGAGCCACTCTCTCATTTCTTCATGTGAGTTAAAATTGTCTGCTGTCTCCCAAGACATTTTGGTGCTGTAGTATTCGTATTTAATTGATGACTGAATGTTGGTGTGTTCTTGTTGTTAAGTGCCATCGAGTTGGTTCCAACCCATAGCGACCCTGTATGGGGTTTCCTAAGAGCAGCTGGTGAGCTTGAACCACTGACCTTGCAGTTCAAACGGCTTTATAGTCTGGCGTGTTAACCCACAGCGCCACACCATCTCCTAGTGGATGTGATTAGAGAATGACAGCATGTGTGTGTGCCATTGTACAGTCACCATTTGTGCAGCTCAATTTATAGTGGGCGTGGGTGGTGTTGGCTGATGTCTGTCATTGGAATATAGGAGGTGGCATTGGCTCTTGTTCAGTGGGTAGAGCTGCAGAGGTAGTGTTGTGACTAAGCTGGGTAGGCACCCATCAGGTGGAGCAAGAGGTAGTGTTGTGACTGAGCTGGGGAGGCATCCATCAGATGGAGCAAGAGAAAAAAATACACCCAAGAAAACAAAACAGAATAAACAAGCAAACAAATAATAGTGAAAACAGAATAAGGGAG